CCAAAGTCTGGAGATTAGAGAAACAATAAACTTCCGAATTCATACTTCGGATGATTGGAGAAACATCCGAAGAACTCTCAAACTTAACTGCCAATCTGCCATCTGCGAACGTCTGACGAAGCCGGAAGTTTGAAGTCTCAAACTAGAAGCCTGGAAAGAGCCATGTCCATCTGAGATTTTGCCGTCTACCGGTCTGCGGAACTTTGGACGAAGGCGGCCGGCGGAATTTCTGCCGTCTGCGTTCAACTCTCAAGACTGGAACGGCCAAGAGAAAAGCGAATTGGGGGAACGAAAGGGTCAAACGCGTTAGGTACTTACTTAGCTAGGCATATCAGAAATTCAAAAGTATGGCCAAAACGACGGCGTTTAAAATGTTCCTGTGCACTTAACCAAACGGCGTCGTTTGATTTATTGATTTAATTAAAAAAAAAAAACAAGCTGGCCTTTCTTATTCTTCTGGTTCGATGGATCTCGCCATAGCAGGGGCGCAGGACAGCTTTCACTGAAGAAGATGAAGGGGCGCCGGCCAAAACACCTAATACTACTACTAAAAAAACTCCGACCAAGGGGTGGCGCCAGCACCGGCTCGCTCCTCCCTGGTTCCGCCCCTGAATGTTTTGGTAATAAACAATCTAAAAAAGAGTGGGCTGAATATTAGGTCTGTAGGTCTAAAGCGTGTGTGTCATTTTAATGTTTTAGTCCAATTGTACTAAATATGTACTAAATAGTAATTAAGAGGCAAATGCAATAACAAATGTAAATTATATATAGCACCACGAGTAAAAATCAATAATACTCGTGATTCAATACGGTAATATTTCGTTGTGATAGCCGTATGAAATGAAATATTGCAATCCCCGGATACATATTACTTAGGACCAATTTGGGGTAATGAGGGGTGATGATCAAAATCTCCCGTTCATAGTAATCTCATACTTGTACACATAGAGATATAATAATATACAAAGTTCCAGATCAAACTCACATCTCAATATTGACATTTCTATTTTACACTTATGCCTCTATAATCAGGGAAATTAATACATATTAAAGTATGATCTCAACATTTATGAAAAATGTTACGGAGTATTATTTATCAAATATCAATAACAACACTATATTTATAATAAAATATAAATAATAACCATAATATTATTAAATAATAATAATCACAATAACGTTGATAATTATAATATTGATTGTAAAAATAAAAAGGAAAAATTAACAAGAATAATCTCACCTTTCACTGGTCTTCTCATAATAATCCCACCTTTAAATAATCCCAAAATAATCCCTCCTTTGCACCTCATCTTCTTTCATTGGACCCTGACCAAGTTTTTTACCTTTTTTTTAAAATCTTATATAAATAATCTCACATTTATAAGGATATAATTAAAAAGTGAAAGGTGAGATTATTTGTATAATTTTCAAAGAAAGAGTAAAAAACATGGTTAGGGTCCAATGAAAGAAGATGAGGTGCAAAGGTGGGATTATAATAAACACCAATCATGGTTAGGGCATTTCAGGAATGATAAAAATGTTGGTGTAACATTGAAGCAAGATGCACTTGTACAATTTCTTTTAGTCATTGTACCCTTCACCATTAAATCAATTTTTGCTTCATACCTCCGTAAACTTAACTCCAACAATAATAACAATAAAAATAACAATATAACAACAATAATAAAAGTAATAACCTGTGTTTGAACCTTTCTAATGTGATGTGTATTTTTCTAGTCTGATATAATCTAATCTTTTTTATCGGATTTGATTTTTTCATATCTAGTATGATCTAATCAGATTTTTTTGCAATCTGTATTGAAATTTTGCTCGATATTAGTCATTTCATTCCTAAAAAGTGACATAAAATTGATTTTCTTATCTTCTACGTACATTGCATACGGTAAGTATATAAAAAATTTAAAATGAAAAATTAAACTTAAACGTTAAATGGAAATAAAATAAATCAAGTGTATATAATGCTACGTAATTGAAATGTTTAGGCTACATCACTTTTGGAAACTCAACAGTTGGAGTTTTTTTTAACGGTAGTTGGAGTTAAGTTAACGGAGGTATAAGCAAAAATTGATTTAATGGTGAAGGTACAATGACCAAAAGAAATTGTACAAGTGCATCTTGCTTCAATGTTACACCAACATTTTTATCATTCCCTAAATGCCCTAACCATGATTGGTGCTTATAAGTTTTTAGATTTTCATCCAAAAAAATCATGTCACTATATTTTGCTAATTTAAATGTATACTATTCCGTAATTGAATTTCCAACCCCAAGACCTCCACGTCCCGATCCAACAAAACATATGAGAGAATGTAAAAAATAATGGTTGCGAGTTTCGACGGTTCTTCCCCCAAATTTCTCATCATAATAATCGTTCCACTCATATACGTGTCGTTCCTTGTCCCATAGGGGTTGAAAAGTAAGTAGTATTTTTTTGGCAATATGGTCATAAGTGTTTGTGACAATGTTTATTTTGTGACATGTAAACAATCTAGTCCTGATTAGAATTTTTTGGTTAGATAACTATGTGAGTATTTTATAGCACATTTGTTGCTGAATATGTATGTATGTATAATAATAATGATAATAATAATAATGATGATGATGATGATGATGATAATGATGATGATGATGATGATGATTATAATAATAATGGTAATTTGAATTTGAATAAAAAGGTGGTGCTTCTTGTTTAGGACGGGTAGGTCCGACCCAGGACCCAGACCAGACCGACACTGTGCAGGCTCGGCCCGGTGAATCGGAACCGGGAACGGGGCATGACCCGGCCCGGCGAACCGGGACCGAGGCCCGACCCGGTGAAATGGGACCAGGATCGGAAATGGGGTTGGGGGTTAGGGGAGTGGGGGTTGGAATTAATTTGGAAAAACCCAAAAAATAATAATATTTGGAGCCCGACCTTGCCCGATCCCGATACTAATAACCTGGGCCGGAACCCACCCAAGCCCGGAGCCCGGAGCCCGGCCCGGCCTGACCCGAACCTGATCCATGCCTATATGTACACAACACCTTCTTGTACAAGTTATGTGTACAATTAGCTCTATGCAATTCGATCATGAATTAGTCAGATATAAACAAAAAGGGTAGTAGGATATAAATTGTATTCCCTCCGTCCCACAAAATAGTTCTCGATTTCCTTTTTGGGTCGTCCCAAAAAATAGTTACTATTTCCCCATTTCGAAAGTTTTGTCTGACTCACATTTAATTACTTTTTTCTTACACAACTACAACCATATACTTTTACACTTTATTTCCACTTTCTTAAACTCTGATCTAAGTCAATGCGGAAACTATTTTATGGGACGGAGAGTATAATAATTGTATAAACACCAATCTTTTTGGTACGTTTTAGAATTAATTTTGACACTAGTCAAACGGTGCCCTTCTGTCTTCAGAAAACAAGTTTCCCACTCGATAGGCTCACGTGTGTCGTGTGGTAGGAATTGTACGCTGTATTTTTTGTTTTAATTTCAAACATATCACCCTTAATTTCACTCTTAATTTCTGTTTATGAGTCAATTTTTATGAAACATGTAACTTTTTATTTTCACGCGTTAAAAATATTATAATTAAAATATATTAAAATAATTTTAATTAAAATTATTTTTTGCAGTTGAATGGACTAAAATTATAGCAGATGATTGTTTTAGTATTTTCTTTATTTTACCAATAAAATATATTTTAGACATAATTTGTTTATAAATCAACATATTGAGCCAACTTTAGTATTGCCAAACAATCTTTTTATGTTAAAACCATCAAAAATTAAAATGCTTGGTAAGAATAAGGGTAATAACAACATTTGTTATGTATTCTTAATAAAAATTTAACATTCATCTTACAAAATTTAATAAGAAAATAAAAACTTGTTTCTAGAAATAAAGGAAATACTTCTCTATTCCGCTAAAATTGTCTTATCTTTTCTTTTGGATCCGTCTCACTAAGTTGCCTCATAGCAAATTTGATAACATTTGTGTGTTATTCTAAATCATTCTTACTTTGTGTTTACTTTTGTCAATTCAATATCAATCATATAAATCTACTTTTATTAATAACCATGTCACGTTCTTAGGTTTAATAATTAGGGAGAGTACTTTTAATAATTCAACCCCCACCCCCACACATTGCGTACTGTGGTGCAGATATGCCTACTGTACTCATCATATATACACCCTTCAAGAATAGGGTGCACATGACATACCTTTTTATTTTATTTCATTTTATACCCAATATATGACAGGTAATCACAGTAAGTGACACCATAAATACATTAGACAAGAAGTACATGAGTAAAGTGACCGCGAGCTACTACCCTATTGATCCAGTATACTATAGGTGCCGCGACCAATGCACAAATGTAGATCTTATGCGTTAATGGACACCAATGGGGCTGATAAAATGTTAGGGCTAATTGTTAGCATTTGTTGGCTGCGACAGAGCCAAAAAAACATGTTTCGAAATTTAATTATATACGATATTAAAACAAATAGGAAATTATTATTAAATAATACTTGAGTTAAATATTTCATATGTTGTTGAGATAAATGATAATTTAAATCATATTCAATTATTGTATTGATATACATAGTATATGTTATACATATGTTATAAACTTCACACAACTAATGAGTGAATAAGTTGATTTATTTTCTAACTAAGTTTAAGAATATAATCAATACCAAACATCAAATTTTGCTTATTTCAAATTAAGTTGATGGTGTTCTTTTCAAGAGTGATAACTTTTTACTCGTAATGAATTATGAAGTCCATAATATATCAAATTAAAGATAATGCAATTAACAATACAAATTTACATTTTTGAAAGCAATAATATTCGTAAATGGTGCTAAAATGATTTTTTATACCGAATATAAGTTTGGGTGTTCATCTCACACCCTTTCAAAGTTGGAGATATTTTAATTATTTTTTCCTAAAAATTTGATTGCATTTACTCAATTTTTTTAGGCTCACGTCTTTTTCTTTGGTAAAACTCAAAGCCGAGTGTCAAACATGCTAATAACAAAATCTTGTATGGATTAAAAGCGGCAATAATTGAAAAAAAGCGTAACGAGCTTGAACTTATAAATAAACATACGTTGGTTCAATATACTTACTGATATGCACACATATGCTACATAATAACATCACAACCATATCATTCTGCTCCCTAACAGTGACTCTTCAAAGCTCTGTCCAGTGCATCAAACACAGTCTGTACATTCACTTCTTCCACAATAACTACCTTATCCCTACACTTTGACCCAGAACGTATGCAAACTTGCCTTCGTTTTACGCCAAGAACCTGTCCAAAAGAGACTTGAGATTTTCCCAAGAAATCAATACGGAGTATTTCTTTTGCTATATTATACTCTCTCCAGTTTTTAATAAACTTCACACTTTCCTTTTTGGGACGGTCTAAAATAAACTTCACACTTCCTTATTTCCTTTTTTGGTAAAGAAATCTACATCAAAACAGTGTCAAACAGTGCCTCAACAGTGTACTCTACAGTAAAGTCAAATTTATTTTCTTATTTTGTGTGAAGTCAAAGTGTGAAGATTAAATAAAACCGGAGGGAGTAAAATTCAAGATATGTCAGCCTTTAGTTCAAAGCTACAAATAGGTTACTCAATTACACGAGAGCATTGAGTAATAATAAAATATTATTATTCATGTTGCAAATTCATTCCTGATATCCATCTGCTACAGATTCTGTATCGCCACCATTCTTTGTGCAGAGTGAGCAACTAATATCTTGAAAACTTGTCAATGACAAGAATAAGAAAATGCTTTCCCGTCCCAAAATAATACAAAATAATACGGAGTAGACGTTTTAGATAAATGCACATTAACAACAACATTACCCCAATGCCACAAATGCTTCGAGGCTCCCATCTACAGTAGGATAAGGGGGCGAATGTAATGATTCCTATACTAAATTTTAATCATTCATGCCCGAGGCTCCGAGGCTCCTTAACCACACACACACACAAAAGCATAGACAAATAATTATGATCCCTTTTGACCTGTAATTAATCTTTACTCTATAAAACTGTGAGTATGTGCTTTTTATCAATAGAAAAAGGCAAAAAGCACCCATTCATGGAGCTGTTACTAATGTCTGTGTGTGAAGGCATGCAAATTGTAATAATAAAAAACAAAAGTTATGACATTGACTCCAATTATATACATACTACAGATACTAGATGACTCACGCGAATCCATATGAACAACGTAATGGATTTATCCATGTCACGTTATGAGTGAAAGGGTTCATCAACTTATCACATGGTGTTTCAAACTACATGCCACGTTCTAAAATAAATGTCTTACTTTTCTCTTTGGATTATCCAAAAATTAATGTTTATTTCCATTTTTTAGAAGACATATGTGATTCATATCATTTGACTTTATTCTACTCAAACATCAAACACAGTTTTACTTTTCAACCACTTAATTATTAATTGTCGGAAAAAAGTAGGTTCAAAAAATGGGATGGAGGTAGTAGTATACAACTGTTTGATTTTATTCTTCTTTTGAAAGTTCAGTGCCTATTTGGTGCCTCTTTTGACTTACTATACCAATGAGATCAGTCTATTTTTCTGTTATACATAATTTTTTTTACAATGGCCGAAATCAGTTCATAATTAGAAAAAGTGGTAGATGGGTATAAATCTTAAATCCCAATTTGTTTTTTTGGCTGAAATGGATATGTATATATATATATATATATATATATATATATATATATATATATATATATATATATATATATATATATATATATATATATTGTCTTCATTCTAAAAATTTGTTAAAATGGACTCCCTCAATCCCAATTTAAAGTTCCTGGCCACCATTCATGTGTTCAACTTATCTCTCATTAAATCTTTGATTCCTGTACTAAATTTTAATCATATCTGAGCTCAGTTTTAAGAGTTTGATAGAGCTTTTATATTGGACTCCCTCAATATGTTAAAATGGACTAAAAATTTAATAGAGTTTGATAGAGCCACCATTCCTGTACTAAAAATTTGTTAAAATGGACTCCCTCAATCCCAATAAGTTATTTTTTGTTACGAGTAATAAATTAAATTTCATAAGGAGAATTAACTTTATAATAGTCAATCATCAAAAACCGAACTAAGAGCTTTCATACCAGACAAACACAATTCCTCTTTGAGACATTTTAACAAAACTTTACATAATTAAAGCAATACAGTCATTTAAGCTGACACAACCCCAATAAATTGGTCTTAGACGGATTTACATTGCTTAGCCAGCAACAATGCCGTGTAGGCGTGTGTAGATATCCTCTCATGAGGACCCGCAAGCAAGCAAAGATCATAATGAAGTAAATTACTAAATTCTAATGGTATAGCTTTTAAAAGTTTTTTTTTTATTTGAGAAATCACAGCCCGGATGTTGTGCTGTTGGCAAGCAAGGCTATACATTGCTTGTAAGTTGTAACTTTTCAATCAGATTCTGGAGTAAACTTTAACTAATCTATATATTATCCAAACAAATTTCTATTTAATAAACTGACTTTTGAGTAAATATATTCAAATACACGTCTAGTTGGTATTAAGTTACTTTTACCAAGCTAACTTTATTAAATGGACTTTCAAACGAACTTTAAGCAAGCTGAAATTTACACACTTATTTCCTTTACTTTGTTCAACCAGCTCCAAGGAGAAGTTAACATTAAATGCATGAATTTGCAAAGAATAAACAAATAGTTTTGTAGAAAGGAAGTGAATCAGAACACAACAAAACGTCCTGAAAACCCTATAGTTTGAAGAAGGGTGAAACATTCTGTTTGTTTTATTGTATTGGCCCAACTTCTCTAAAACTTGTGCTTAAATTGATTTTTTTTAAACTGCAAGTATAAGAAGAAAGGAAAAATTAATTGTGACTTTGCAGATCACAGAAGAAATGCACGAACATGGTGTGTCAAGTTACAAGAAGATGCCAGGCCTTCATTGATGTTTACTCATCTCTGGATTTCAGATCACTAGTGTTGGAACTTGGAAGAAGTAGTTTTCACAAAAAAACAAAGTGTGGCAACTGGCAATGGAATATTCAAGTATGGTATTCACAGATTGGCATTCACCAATGGTCTTGAGAAGCTTCATCTAACATTGGTTTCATCTCTGGGGCTAGAATGAAATGAGACTAAGAGCAGTGGCAACGATAGGAGATAAGTAGGGAAAATTGGGATGGAGGGATTTCCAGATCTTTTTATGTTTTCTGGCTAACTTTCATAGCATACCCATAAAACATTAGCCCTCTTCAGGCACAAGCTTAACAAAAGTTATCAGCAAATAAGAAGTTAACCACCTAACTTTACATTTTAACAAGTTTTGATACTCTTGTTAAATAGAAGTGCAAAAATCATCTTGTCCAATGGTTCAACTTTAATTCAATGACATCAACTGATTGTTATGCCAACATATTTTATTGTTTACAACTTTATATTTTAACACTTCAAATGCAAATGTATACATTTAGTTACATCAAACAACCATTACAACTCAATACTATAACCTAAAATATACTACGTATATTTTAGGCAAGTCAATCATCTCTCAGGTTAAATAAAAAAATAAAAAATAGACAAAAACAAAATTTGGAATACCAATCACCAATTAGGTAACCAAAACACTATTAAAGGATGTAAATTGGGCCAGCAGGCTAAATCATTGAAAAACAAATGAAAATGGGATTTGCTAGAAATTTTTTGGAAAGAAAACTTGGAGAAAAGGTGACAAGTCCTGCATCCCCAACAAATCAACTACGTAATTTAAATTTTGCTTGCAGCGAAAATTAGAAAAATATACAGAGTAATAAAATATGATTTAATGGAAATTTATCACCAAACTATTGAGTTGAAAATATAAATTATCTCCGTCCCAGCTTAAGCTTCTCATTGAAAAATGGCACAGTTAATAATATGTTTAACTCTTATAGTAGTATAATAACTTATACTTTGTATATATTACTTAAGGTTATTCAAATATATTTTGAGAAGTAGTTTCGATGAATATATAATATAGAGCCCGTTTGGTAGCACCAAAATCGGCTGTTTTGGCTGATTCTGCTGAAATTTATGATATTCTGGCTAGAGTGGTTGTTTTGCCTGATTCTGCTGATTTAAGAAAAAAATATTTTAAAAATATATTTTATTAATAAATTAAAGAAAAAATTATATGTAAAAATAGCTAAAATGGTCCTCTACAGTAACTTCAGCCAATACAGCCAGAAAAGTAACTCCAACCTTACTTTTTCGGCTTATTACAAAATTCAGCGCGCGAAAGTAAAAGTTACGTGTTTGGTGAAAAAGCTGGCTGATAAGCCTGATAAGCCGAAAACAGAGTTCTCCAAACGGGCTCATAATGAAGTAATTGATGATATGGGTGATGTAACATGTTTAATATTTGATGATTAAATTGTCATTTAAGAGTGCTAATTATTTTCTAAAATAGAAATAGGAATATTTAGCTAGACATTCAAGAGAGACAGTTGAGAAGCTTAAGCAACGGAGCGAGTACTTCGTATATGAATACCACAATGATTAAAGTCTTCAAAGTATAAAAAATCCATAGCTAAATTACAAAATCAGAACATATGTGCAAAAACACAAGCAATAGTGTTCCTCTATTATCAATCTCCCACCAAAAGAAGCAAATAATCCGAAAAACTTAAACTTTTGTGTTTTACGACGCAGCTATAAGCACTCACATTTATTCTTGTCTATAACCATAAAGACATACTGCGTACATTTTATTGATTCCAATGGAGAATTAGGACTTACTGAGCTAATGTAGTCAATAAGAGCAGCATTTGCTTCGCCATCTTTAGCTGGCGCATCAATCTGGATCCCAACAGCCTCGTCGCTCAAATCTGAACAAAAACAGGGAAAAATAATACGTATTTTTTCGTAAACAATTCTTAACTACTCCGTGTAAAAAAGACAGGGTGGAAAGGGGACCAGTAATGGTGGCAATTTTGGAGCCGGGCTTGGCGTGGATGGTTATTGATACGGAAGACGGGGCAACGACACGGATACAAGCCGGGTATTTGGAAGCGGAAGGAGGCATACACTGAGTTGACTCGGTGGCTGAGTTACCTTTGGTTTTGCCTTTCTTTGATGGGGCCATGCTTTTTATGGGCCTTCGCTGGATTATCTGTGTGAGTTTTGCGGCTGAAACCACCGGCATAGAGAAATTTAGTCGCGATTATGGGAGTAACGGAAGGCTGCAACCAGGGAACCACCTTCGCTCAAATTCAATCGTGAAGATCCACTCATCCGAGAGTATTAGGATGGGTGGGAGCAAAGTTTTTAAAATCGTATTTTTGAATCGAATCGGTAGATGTTTTTAGAAATCGAATCGCAAATTGTAAGATTTTACCAAACGTATGTTAATAATTATAAAATAAATAAATATTAAAATTAAGTTGCAAGTTAATGATAGTATATCATTTCATTACATAAAACTATACCTAAAATGTCAAAAGCAAGATTTATAAACTGTTTTTATAAGGTAAATGTATTGAATAATAACATTAAACATATGTAAAACATAAAAATAATTAAGTAACACAAGAATCCATTACTTTTATAAATAAACTATTCATATTATTATTATTGGAATTATGTATCAATTTGTAGTTGTTAATTTTAATAAATTTGAACCATTTTCATCAAAAACAACTTATTACGATTTTGCTACGATTTTGCTACGATTTTGCTACGATTTTATACGATTCTACACGATTTTAGGACGATTTTTTTACGATTTTGTACGATTTTATGATTTTACGATTTTACCTGCGATTTGAATCGCTTTATTAATGTAGAATCGTAAAATCGTACGATTTTACGATTTAAATCGAGATTTTAACAACCTTGGGTGGGAGAAACGCATAAAAAAAACTTTTTCTTTGGTTTCAAAACATGAGGACTAAAGAAGGTTTGTGCACAATTACAATCTTATTAAGATAAAAAATAATTTTGTACGCACTCCTATACTCACTTTTGAACCCACCTATGTTTGTGAAGTGTTTCTTTTATCTGTTAACCCCGGTTCACTGACAATATTTTGTACAGACAAAAAAAACATTCACAAACATGATGAGTATAAGGTGGGTATAAGAGTGAGTACATCAAACATTGATGTATTAATATACTTCCATCGTCCCAAATAAACTATTTTTCCGTCAGTCCCTTAAAGATGTATCTTTCCTTATTTGGTATAAATAAAACGGTGCAAAACATTGTCAAATAATGTCAAATATTACCAAACAATTTCATTTGCTTAAATTGTGTGAAAGTCAAACGAGACCTTTTTAAATGGAAAAGCATAGAGTTATTACATCTCACTAGTGCTACTAAGGGTGAAACTTTGAAAATAAGAACCAATAAACTGAACAGTACCAACCATTATGAATTTCGATTCCAATATTAATTACTCCGTAGTTGTTTATTAATAGTTCCAATCATTATTTTTGTGTTAACAATTCAGTTTTTGTTTCGGATCAAAATTGTGGCATAGCATTCTCCATCCTCTTTGCATCATGCTATCATAAATAAATGCAATTGTCACTCTACAAACACGAAAACATAAAACAACATTCAAACTCTAACAAAATGAAATTATGGTTAATTTTAGGGAAAATTCTTGAAAAATGAGTAAAATGATTTGAAAATTCCAAAATAGGCGTGTGGACATCTAAAATTAGTGAGCCATTAGTTCATAAATCAATTGAACTTTCGAGATAACGATGACGGTTTGTTATTGTCATTGAGCTTCATTTAAATGCTACCAGACTATTATTTGTGTTATTTGGCCTCTTTTGAAATTATTGGGTCAACATCAAAATCTACTAGAGTGCTCGTAAATACTATCCATCTTATCAAAAGGAAAATATTAATATGGGTTCATTTAGATATAATTTACTGATTGAGTTAATTCGAGTCACTTCGATGTTCAAGTATTTTAATTACTAGTATAATTTAAATATATAAAAGAATGGATCGGTCCTATTAATTTCTCTATTTTAAGCACATTGTCAAATAGTGGGTGGGTCAATGTATAAGAGATAAGATCGAGTACTTCTTGTTCTAAACACTTTTATACTCACTTTATACTCATCATGTCTGTGAGAAGTTTTTTATTTTTGAATTCAATTCATTGGACAAATAATTTGTACAGACATATTTTGTCTGCGACCGGTATTCACAGATAAAAAAACACTCCTCACAAACATGATAGATACAAAAATGAATATAAGAGTCTACAATAATCTAAGTATCTTCTTTCAAACTAACCCGGTTTTGTTCATAAAGGTGGCCTGATTTAAACCCACCACTCCCTCGTAGACGAAAACGAATCTGCTCTGCTTGGGGTATTCATCCTCCCAAAACGAAATCAATTTCAACCTAGGGTTTCCATTCCTCTCCGTCAGCCATGGCTCGTAACGAGGAAAAAGCGCAGTCGATGCTCAATCGGTTCATCACCATGAAGGAGGAGGAAAAGAAGAAGCCGAAGGAGCGCCGTCCTTTCTTGGCATCGGAGTGTAGAGACCTCGCGGAGGCCGACAAGTGGCGACAGCAGATCCTGCGGGAGATTGGCCGCAAGGTGGCGGAGATCCAGAACGAGGGTCTTGGCGAACACCGACTTCGTGACCTGAACGATGAAATTAACAAGCTAATACGTGAGAAGAGCCATTGGGAAAGACGGATAGTCGAGCTCGGTGGCCCGAACTACACGAAGCATTCCGCTAAAATGACGGATTTAGAAGGAAACATTGTTGATGTCCCTAATCCTGGTGGGCGTGGGCCGGGGTACAGATACTTTGGCGCCGCAAAGAAGTTACCTGGAGTTCGGGAACTGTTCGAGAAGCCTCCTGAGTTGCGGAAGAGAAGGACGAGGTATAGTAACTAGTTGTTGCCTAATCCATCCGCAAGACTGTAACTGTGACTGATGCTTGATGACCTTTTTTTACTATACCTACATTACTATTATTACTTCGCTGAAACGTAGTATTAACAATGGAATCAACACTACTGTAAGAAATCAACTTTTTTCCAGCAAACTCTGGAATTACTTCTGCTCTTTAGTCTAGCATCTTAAGATTGGTTTCTCACTTTAAGCACTTTAGAGCCATAGAAGGTTAATGTCGAAGTAAATATGAAATATTGCTGATTAATGAATGAGGAGAGTGTCATCTTAGGTACAAAGGCCCTTCCCTTGTGAGCTTGTCTTGTTGATTTAGATGTTGTACGCTGATGATTTTTTACCAGAGATCGATTCAGTTTGTGACTTTGTGCTTGATATACCTGTATCCGTAATGATCTAGTTAACTGTTCAAAATCACAAATAAGTATGGAATTACGACTTTATGTTTTAACTGCCCTCTTGAAAGAATTAGTATTAATTCTTAGTTAATTGCCAACACTTGGACAGCATTCTGCTAAATTGTGGGAAGATAAAAACATTGACACAACTATAATCGTATGTGATTTGTTCGTTCAATGCACAGACAAATATGCACTCCATTAAATCATTGGATTTGATTTCTTATCTTTGGCGCGATTTACACCATTTCAAGAAACTTCACTTTGAAACTGCTTTCAGCATATTGATAGTAATCACATGTGTGCATGCATCGGTTGATTATGTATTTTCTTGAACTATACACCTATTTATGTATTTTCTTGAAATATACACCTATGTATGTATTTTTTTGGAAGCATTGGTTGATTATTTTCTACTTGTTAATTATGTAGTTTGCGCTGACATGTTTTTGGTTGACTTTATATTTGTAGGTATGACATATACAAGAGGATTGATGCAAGTTATTATGGGTATAGAGATGAAGAAGATGGTATATTGGAGAAGTTGGAGGGGCCAGCCGAGGAGAAGATGAGGGCTGCCGCACTAAAAGAGTGGATGGAAATCGAGGAGATAAAGAAAGAAGCAAAGAAGGCAGTGAAGAGTGGGGAGGTAGTAGAGGTTGGTTTGGGAGCAAAAATATTGTTTGAGGAAGAAGAGGATGTTGTGGAAGAGGAGAGGAGGGAAAGAGAGAAAGAAAAGGAAAAGGAGTTTGTGGTGCATGTTCCCTTGCCAGATGAGAAGGAGATTGAGAGAATGGTGTTGCAGAAAAAGAAGATGGAGCTCTTGAGTAGATATGCTAGTGAAGATTTGGTTGAAGAACAGATGGAAGCAAAGGCCATGCTTAACATTCACAGATGATGAGTAAATCATCATAATCATGCACTTCAGCATTCCATGACTGTGCTTCTCGCAGCTTGTTTTTTGAAAATCAAGGATCATCAATGGAGTTACCCCTGGAGCTCTTTTATTTTATGATGGTTGTACTTTGAAATGGCTTATAAGATTGTGTGCTGTATTGATTACTACAGAGCGCATGACACATGTATTACTGTCATAGTGAAATGGTTTGACTAGCCAGTAGCCACATCAATCCTGGAATGGGTAAATTTGCCCAGATAGGGGTTGCTATAAAATTGTTAGAAACTGTCTACTGGCCTTGAATTATATAGAACTGCAAATCTAATGCTTTATTTTTATAAATAAATTAACAGACAGTTGAAAAGATGATTTGTGATTCTACAAAAAATGGCTTACTTGGGCCAGTTTGTGTGGAGCATTAGAGATGAACACACTTCACATCCTTTTTTTCAAGTTCTTTGATTGTCCTTTTCAAAATCTCACTTTCACGAAAAGAATTAGAGATGAATCTAGATTTTTCCAGATTTAACTTGGAATTCATCTGATTTCAAAAAAAAAAACTTGGTATTCATCTCGGCAAAAAAGTAGCGGGAAATTACCCCAACAGGAGCAAAAATCACAAAATATCAAATATAGAACTAATTGTACGATTTCTGTGCAATTCTGGTAGGGGGTGGGATTTGTATTTGCTTCATGACCTTTCTGTCACCGAGACTTCCTGATAGATTATGTTGGCGGTGGGGGTCAAATGGCGGGTGTTCTGTTCGGAGTTGTTACTGGCAATTAGTTGGGGAGTTTGTGGGTGGGGAATGGACTGGTTGGACTTCAATGTGGAATTGCCTCCCAAAATTAAAAACTTCTTTTGGCAGGTGTGTGCAATGATCTTTTGCCGACAACGGAGAATTTGAGATAGCGGAGAGTGGACTGTGAGGTGGCTTGCGGTCTCTGTAGCACGGCAGTGGAGTCTCCGTTCCATTTATTTGTTGCTTGTCCAGAGGTGAAGGAAGCTTGGAGCTCTGTGGGCTGGAGTTGGACGCTTTCTTCAACGGACCAGTTTCTTGTTC